GGTTACGTATTGTAGTATACGACGAAACAAGAGAGCGTAGTAAGTACGTCTACTACACACACTCTCTCTCTCTCTCTAACAACGACTCTACCACCGACACACGACGTCTCTCCTCCTCTCTCTCTCTCTCTCTCTCTCTCTCTCTCCAACTAACATTGTCATCTCTCCACAAACAGACTGCATCACTCTTCACAAACACACAACCTCTCTCTTCCTCGTTACACAAACCAGCTCCTTCTCTCTCTTCTTTAACACACATGCTCTCTCTCTCTCTCTCTAGCTTAAACGTGAACCATTCCCATCTCTCTCTTCTCTCTTATTGAGACTCTGTGTATCTGAGAGCCAACTACACATCAGGTAATGCAATTATTTTCTCCCTCCTCTCTCCAAACTTAATTAGCACAGCTCTCTCTCTAAATTAATTAATTAATTAATTATAGCAACACAGTCACTCTCTCTCCCAGCATAAATAGAGAGCTACACTCTCTTAGGCTGTTGGTCTCGTGTCACATGTATTTGAATCTTACCACTTCCTGGCCCTCTCGAGCTTGACCAAATCTTTCAAGTGAGTGGTGATGGATCATAGATTCTCAATCATGGACTTCATCCTCATAGCTCAAGGGTTCATTCTAGGGTTTAAATGGTGTTGCGTTTCCCATAAATTGCAATTCAACTTGAAAAACCAGTGACTTTGTTGAGGCTGGAAGACTCATTTTAGTGGGAAAAAGCTCATGCTTGGGCTTCCTCAGCACTTGTAGTGAGAGGATTGGAGGTCTCAACATCACATTGAAACTTTTGAGTTTAGTCCCAAGCCCAAGCTCAAGCTCAAGCTCAAGCTCATGCTCATGTAGAAGAGTTTCAGAAAGTTAAAAGTTTGTGTTGGTTTTCAATTTTTTACTTACTAGAATTGGCTGAGAAAACCATTTCAATCCCAATCCACTACTTGTTCTTAGTGAATCAGTTTTGAGGGGTTTTCTTATAAATAAATAAAAACGAGAGAGAGATGGGTGATAGCAAAGAAGAGCCACTTCCTCCAGGGTTTAGGTTTCACCCAACAGATGATGAACTCCTCAGCTATTATCTCACACAAAAGATCTCTGATTCTTCATACGTTGGAAGGGCAATCGCCGATGTTGATCTAAACAAATGTGAACCGTGGGATCTTCCAGGTAATGTTCAAAAACTTTTCCTTGTTGAAATGTTACTTCGAAGTGAGAGAGAGAGAGAGAGAGAGAGACGGAACCTTAGTGCGACGAGAAGAGAAGAAAGAGTAGTACAAGTAGTGAGTCGGTACTCTATAGTGCGAAGAAGAGAGAGAGAGAGAGAGAACGTAACG